AATAGTATATTTACTCTTATGAAAGCACATTTAAATAGTATATTTACGCTTATAAAAGTACATTTAAATAGTATATTTACACTTATGAAAGCACATTTAATAGTATACTTACAGGCAAGGCTGAAGGTATTGGCTTTCCTAAACGTTTTCCACAAAATCAAGAATTTCTCCCAGAAAAAATATTTCAGTCACATATTTTTCCTGGGCGGGGGGGGGGGGGGGGTCTATTAAGTTTGGTTCAGATGAAACTTTTGGTCTTGTCATGGAAGGATTTTATCAGAGTGGGATTTATCAGCAGGGATAAAACCCGTCTCGTATGTGGCTAACTGGTCCTTATCTCCGAACTGACCTGAACCAGAACTTGCCAGTCAGGAAGAGCAGGTACCCTGACGCTTATTTTGTTGTTTGTTGTCGCCGTTTGTTGTAACTATGGTGCCGTCCTCCAGATCCTCCAGATCCTCCAGATCCTCCAGATCCTCCAGCGGTTCCGTGTTGCTGCAGATTGTGTCTGCTGTGCAGGCTGGTTCCACCACCAGTTTCTGTTCTACATGGCAGCAGGGTCTCTCTTGTAAATGAGTTGAGACTAACCTGTCTAAATAAAGAATGAATGAAAGATGTGAGATGTCCATTCTGGAGCCCAACTGCATCCCTCTCTGCATCCATGACGCCTGCAGCCAGACCGTTGTTCCGGGCCCCCGGACCAAACGAACCAGGAGGATGTCGGGCTCTAGGTGAACCAGTTCTATCCATGGGTGGGGGTCCAGTACTTCATGGACCCCATGTGCCACTCATTGTGCTTGCTTCTGGAGTGGCTGGTCCATTTTCAGCGTTTTGACTATTCAGATTCATTAAGTCTTATCGCTGCATCTGGATTTGCCAAACCTTGCCAAATTCATTGTTTTTGGGTTCTAAACAATCATGTCTTTATAAATTTATCTCTTTGTGGAACAATAATGGAGTCCAAGTGCTACAACTTTAACTCCAGCAATTATACTTCTGCCACCAAGAACACCTGGAAATGTTTGGTTGTGATGCTCTTACTGTTGTCTGGGACTCGGCCTAATCCTGCTCCTCTAACAGCATCCAGACTACAAAAACATGTCAGGATTACATATTATGCACATTAATGCTCATAGCCTCCTTCCATAATAAATATGCTGAGGATATGGGTATGATCAATTGGTGCTGATATTGGTATTTCTTCTGGACAAAGATGTTTCAATTAAAGGTTTCAATATTTGTCGTTCAGATCGTCCCAGAAAAGGAGGAGGTGTAGCAATATACATCAGATCTACATTGGTATCACAACTGGTATTTACAAAATCAGCACCTAAACAATTTGAAATCTTGGCACTAAATGTTGTATAATGGGGGCCGAGATGGTGTAGAGGCAGGGCAGCCGGCTTGGGACCCGAAAGTCCCAGGTTCGATCCCCAGTCACTGCACATCACGTGGTGTCTTTGGGCAGCACACCTCATCCCCAAAATGCCCCCCGGGCGCTTTCAATAGCTGCCCACTGCACCACCTGGTGGTGGATGGGTTAAATGCAGAGACTAATTTCGCCATTGTATGGAAACATACAGTGCTGACATTGTGATGACATTATTATTATTATTATACGTTGTATGGTGGTCAATCGTTATCTGTTGTTGTATCTGTTGTTGTCAGGGTTTCAGACAGGGCAGGGCAGGAGTGAACCCAGTTGAGCAGGGAAAGAGTCAGGACTCCAGGATTACAAAAATAAACACTCTTTAATAATAATAATAATAATAATAATAATAATAATAATAATAATAATAATAATAATAATAATAATGGATTACAAAAATAAACACTTTAATAATAATAATAATAATAATAATAATAATAATAATAATAATAATAATAATAATAAAACAAAAGAGCTGACGTGGCAGCAACTTACAAAAACAGGGACCGAGGAACAGATCAGACTGGCAGGACAGGACAATACCCAAGACTCACTGACAGGCCTAAATACACAGACAGGACAGGACGTGATCACGAACAGCTGAGAACAGAAGGTGAAATCAATCAGGATTAAGACACAAGGGTGCACAGACAGAGAAGGCCCACAAGATGGCGCCATCCCTCCAGTTGTTGGTTGCTCTAGACCCCTGCTGCCACGTGTTTGTGAACAAGCCTTTCTTTGGGATGTGTTCTACTTGGACTGACACCACATGTCATTAACTGACATGTGAATCTTGCTATTTTCATAATAAGGCTGAGATGGTGTGGTCTTGGGTTCGATCCCCAGTCATTGCACATCTCGTGGTGGACACCTAATCCCGAATTGCTCCCCG